AGGAAACATCTAATTGATGGGAATACACTGAAATGATAAAGGAAAACACCAAGAAACTTCTATAAAATCAACTGTCTTTAGTTTTCATTTCCACTTCCTCTACTCCTATTCTTTGCAGAATCTTTCTTCAGATTTAATTTGTAGTGCATTGTTCAGTTCCACCCCTCCCACTCTACCAAATACCCAAAACCTATGATTAGGTGGGGGAGGTTTTATTTTGTTCATAGTTTCAGGAGATTCAGCTCATTATTGTCTAGGCACAAAGTCAGAGACATCAGACTGAAGAGGATTTGCAAAGAAAATGTCTTAGTTCATAGTTGCCAGGAAGCAGACCACCAGAGAAAAATATCTTAGAGGAAAGAGGCTAGAGGCCATATATAATTCCCAAGATCAAAGATCATGGCCTAGAAGACACTCTCTAAGCGTACTTTATCAAACCCTAGGCAGATCTCAAGTCAAAGAAGTTGACAATCAAGATTATCTCACATATACCAGTCCCTGGGATTACTTCTTATCAAGGTGTTAAATAATTTGACTTACTCAATTGATTAGAAATATTCTATGTAGTCAGTGGTCTTAAACTAAATATTTTCTTTGCTTGGCTTCCAGGACATTGTGTTTTCTTGCTTACCCCCTGTATTCTTCACGTTTTTTTTTTTTTTTTAATTTTTGTTAAACATTTACTGTCTTCTCCCTTTATCTTTCTAAACTCTATCTTAGAGGGCTCCAAGACTCAGTCTCTGTCAGGATTCCTTTCTATCCATACTGATTCTTACACAATCTCATTCAATACTCAATTTTATTTTATTACATTTTTGTTGAAGAATTACTATTTTATCTCTTTTTTTTTTCTTATTTTATATTTGTGGCAAATTACCCTGAATTTCAGACATACATTAAATTGCTCAGTCAAAATCTCCACTTCAAGGTTGTGATGGATTATACTTCACAAAAGTGATAAAAGCAATATTGTCAGGCTCACGTATTCTTTTAGAACTTAGTCACTTCTCTATTTAGAGTTCCTGTCTATTTCTTCTGAGCTGGAAATTGAACAGCCCTTTCTGATTTTTCCCCACAATAGAATGCAACTTGATTACATTGTAATAAAAGACAGTACATAATTTGCCTTTCTCAATTGAACATACTTTACTTTTAATTTTTAAAAAATACTAGTATGTGTTTGCAGTACACACATTCATCATGGGGAACTGATACATGTGCATAGCACATTATAGTTTTTTTTTACTTCACCTTTTCTTCTTCTGTCTCCCCCCTCACTCTACCTCTTTTTTCTCGCCTGCAAGTACTTTTGCCCGTAGTCTAAAACAAGATTTTACTGAAAGCTAGAATAAAGCAAATGAAGTTTCACATCATTTCATCTCCTAATCTTGAGTCGCTGCAGGTAACATCGTGAAAAAGAGATGAGCTCTGTCTTTCAAGCCCTACCAAGGAGAAGACTTTTGAGTAAAATAAATGTTGCTGTTGTTTTAAGTCATGAATGTGAGAAACAGTTTCTCGTACAGAAGCAAATAGCAAGAACAAATGGCATAAATATTGCAAACTGAATTTGCATCACACTGAATTTCTGTGCTGGCTTCCACTAAACATCACCTTGGCCTTTTATAATTTTCTGCATCTTATTTGTAAGTCTATCTTTCCAGTTATTCAGATAAAGTGGAGTTGCACTTAATTTCATTGTGTTTTCTATCTCGCAAACAAACTAAGCAAAACTGCTCAACACTCCCTTCTGAATGCAAATATTCCTTGTTTCACAACCTACCTGTTTAATGGCTGTTCAGAGTTATGTTCTGTCTTTGTTTAGTAGTTTTGTACATCTTATTTATAAAGGTTCGGTGTCTTTTTTATACAGTACACTATGTTTACACAGCACTGCTGTTTTTTCTGACTATTGTACAGTACAGTAGTGCAGTTTTATGTTCTGTTATGCATTATACTACTGCATGTAGGAGTTACACAAATGAAAGCAAAATCATTAATTAAGAGCTCCTTTCTTTTTTTTTTTTTCAGAATACTGTAATGTACATATTATAGACTGTTACTAAATGATTACTTGATTCATTTATCCACCTAGTTGTAGAAACAGAATTTGGGTCTTTAAATGTGACGTGTCTGCATGACAAATATTCAACCTCTTCTCACTCTGTTCAAACCACCATCTTATCTGAGCTCTGCTCAGATTTCTGACCACTTTTATCATTGTCCTCCTCTTCTCTCTTCTCAATGCAGCAGCAGGATGATGATTTTAAAAGTTCGTAATAATATCCTATTATTATTCTTCTCAGAATTCTTGTCAAAGACTCCATACTATACTCACACTAAGTGACTATCTTTCTTATAACTAAGTCTGTGGGTGACCTGAAATCCTCCCACTCTCATCTAATTTCCTGGTTTTATTCTCTCCTATGCTTCTCTCTTGATCATTTTTCTTCCCCATGTAGGCCTGGCTGATAATCTTTGATGCTATAAGAACACTTGCTTCTCAGGGTTTTTACATATGCTTTTTGCTCTGCCTGGATATGTCTTCCCTGATTTCAAGCCTCTGCTAATTTAGCATTATGTTGGTAACAACCATAATGAAGGTAGCACTTTTCCATTTAAACTCCAATGCTGTCTATATTTGCTACTTTGATTTTCTCTGGATCACTTAATTCAAGTATATGGTATGTTTTACTCATTCATTTATATTCATCTCACCCTTCCTCATTACATTATAAAGCATTTAGCAGCGAGTTTATATTTTATATTACTTGTCAGTACATCCCTAGTGCACTGCATCCCCAGACACTATATCTTCATCATGCTTTCTTTCAAGCTGCCTCTCTAAGTGCCATTCACTATTTGTCCTTGCCTACTGGTTTGCTTATCACTTAAGTGCAAACCCCTCTTTCAAGCAAAATTTGCAATCATGTCTTCTCTAGTTGTTTATTCACCTTCTGAGTGAAGACACAGTGCTCTATAGGACATGGGTAATTAAAACATACCGGTTGCCACATACGTCTCCTCCAGTGCCAGTCATCCATGAAAAGCCACTGATTTTTATTTTAATTATTGCAACCTACATTGTCAATCCAGTGGGGAGCTATTTTGTCAACCTCCTTGTCTAGGAAAATTCTAGAACTCCTCTTGCAGTTTAGTAAACATTAGATCTCAATAAACTTCTTTTGATGAAAATGGTATCAGATAAAGGAACTCTACTAGTAAACTGGTGTACAGCAAAACAAAAATATGCAATTGCTGCCCAAGAAGCTAGTAGGGTTATTGTGAACATCAGAGTAATAATGCACTTAAAATTACTTTTAAGATTTCACTAGCCATGTAAATGTAAATATAGGTCATTAATAATAATAAAAGTGAAATACTGCATGATTCATTATATATTCTAACCCAGCAAAGAAGAGCACTAAGAAAGAAAGGTTTTTATTTCCTTTTTAGGGAAACTGATCTTTTGATGTGTCCTGAAACATCTATGTTTGATCTACTAAACCTAACCTGATGAGAACTCTGCTTGAAATCACAGTTCATTTCATGATTTTTTAAAAAACTGAGATAGCCTGAGGGATATTGCTGGATGTTAATAGATACACTTTCTTCACTTTTAATGGAATAAATAATCTTCTTGTTATAAAGCTTCAATCACAAAATCTTCAGACCAGAAAAGCCCACTAGAGACAATCCAATCCATCCACCTCACTTCTCAGGACAGCTTGAGTCCACATTATGCCTAAAAAAAGAATCATCGCATAGCATGGAACATGGAAAAATCATGTCTCATTTAATTGTGTTATTAATCAGAATACGCTCTGGTACTGGTTCACTTAAGGCTTAAGTATCCTTAGAGTTTAGGTCATCTTGACTATCTTAGGAATTCTCTCACAAAATGCTTTGAAATTTGTACTGTGAAATATACGTTTTGGATTAGAATAATAGCTCTTCTATGCAATAGATTGCCTATGGTGAGTTAATATCTTTTCTGTACCTCAGTGCCCTTACTTGTGAAATAGTTTTATGCTCTAGCTTGAAACCTAAATGTCCCCCAAATATGTGTTACAGGCTTCGTCTGCAGTTCGATGGTATTGAGAAATGATATAAGCTTAAGAAATAGGAACTATTACGAGGTTTTGGGTCTTGAAGGTGCAGCCGTAAACTGGGTCGTGGAATCTGAATCTCTCCTTGCTTCTCTTTTTGTTCTCAACACAGTGATGTGCTTTCTGCCCACAGGTCCAACAGGCGAAGGACTGAAACTATAGAATTGTTTTTCAATTTTTTTTTTTTCTTAGTACATGTTTGCAGTTCCTAAGGATTACACTCCTGGAACTACTGAAATCATGTGTAAAATAAACTTTTCTCTCTTTATACATTGATTATCTGTGATATTGTTTATGGAAACAAGTAATATATTAAGAGAATTTCTCAGAGGAAAGAGTATTGACCTAGGTACTACATATAAAGTATTTATCAGCTAAGTGGTGGAAAATCAATAAATATTTGTCAAATAAAGATAGAATAAATCTTTATTGTCTTCCTCATGATTTGCTTTACTTTCTTCTATTTATTTTGTTTCTCTCACTAATATGAGCCTTCTTATATTTGTCACCTGGTACAAATATATAGCTAAGGGAGACATCTAAAAGTGAAATTATGAGGCCAAATGTTAGCCTTGTCTTTTTTCTTTTTAACCAGATATGGACAGCATGTTTTCTGAACTTATAACAATCTAAGCAAAGTGTAATTTGCTTTACACTACATCGTGACTGTGTACATACACACATAATGTTGAAAAGGGGCCTATAATATTTAATTGGGGTTTTTGAAAATGTATGTTGTTTTGAAAATTAAAATATTTGCTAATATCTTACATGGAAAATCTATTATGCACTTCACACATGTTATAAGTTTGCATCAAAAAGAATTTTTATTTTTATTTAATGTTTAATATTTATTGAATTTCACTAATGGATACTTTTTCTTTTTGATTAAAGAAAGACTTCCCTTATAGAGCTTGGATTCACATGTGTGAGAACTACAGTAAAAAGAAAGTAAGTAAGCAATAGTTATTCTATATTACATCAATAATTTATCTATGCAATGGAATATTATATAGCAGTGAACACATAGCTACATGCATCAATAAAAATCTAAAATCTGAGAATCATAAAATCTAAGTCCCAGAAAAATGCATATGATTTTATTAAATAAATATTATAATGCACACAAAACTATTTCATCTATCTATCTATCTATCTATCTATCTATTTAGTTAATATATATATATATATATATATATATATATATATGCTGAATGTACAAAGCTGGAAGGGAATGTTTAATGCAAACTCGAATCTGTGGTTACTTTTCAATTTCAGTGAAGAACACAAAATTAAGAAAATAGACACAAGGATCTCAAATGCCTATCTAAGGCTCTGTTTCTTAGTGAGTTGATAGTTGTACATATATTTGGGTATTTTTTATATTTTTACTTGTGTATACACTATATGTACATTTTATGGCTCTCATATACTTCATAAATCAAAACAAATTTTTCAACTTATAACTCACTAGACAGTGGCAAGCATGTGATTTTCCGACACTAGAGACACTGAGATATTGACTGGGTATTAAAGACATCAATCTCTAACTTTATCTCATACAAAACATCAAAATAAGTATCAGACTGGTTAAAAATCCAATTATAAGAAATTCATAACTTTGAAGTTATTAGATTTAGGCTGTTTATGCTCTAAAGATCCACATGGTACCCAAGGGAATCAGTAGCCATCGATGCGCTCAAGGCCCAAATAGACCAACTTGGTACTCTAAAAGGAAGCTTGGCGGATGTGCTGGGCAGCAGGCTGCTCTGTTATTCTGCGAAAGGAGAAAGTCATGCTCAGTGAAGGGGAAATTCATTGGTGCCTAAAGCAGGCCAGCTGCATGTGTTCTCACCAAGGGTGCAAAGTATTTTCAACTTAGAAATATTAGGCTGTTCCAGATCCTTCCTTATCACCCAGAGAAATGAAAGGAACAAAAGATAGCTATTGCGACTGACTGCTGAAATTGCCTCTCTTGCCTACACAAAAATATAACATGTAAAACTGCTTTCCGGATTTTATATTTTAAATGTTCGTCTTGGAACTGAGAATTTACCGGTTGTTAAATACAATAACTTATCGATTTAAGGCAGCAGAACAAAATTTAAACAAATGTGTTTGCAATTACCCCATTAACACATACAACTTTAAAATGTATTATCCTTCTTATGTGACATTACCATGAATTACATACCTGTAACGAAAGAAATGTATAGCATGCAAATTGCATGACTCATTTTTTTTCAAAAAAATGCATTGTAGATTCATACCTTTGTACAACTAAGCATAAAGCAACTATTTTCTTGGACCTGAAGCAAGACACCATGTCTGAGGTAAAAGGAAATCTGAAAGTAAGCAAATGAAAGTTAATTATACACATGACATGCCAAAATGCTCATAACCTTTAGCTTCTATTAAAACAACTATTCAGCAGTCATTTTTTATATTTTGCAAAAGTCATCTGATTAACCGAAAACTGTTAGAATTCAGAATGGAGCTTTATTTATCACGTGTAATGCAAGTTTGAAATGTTCCCTCATGGGCTCATTAAATTCATCTGCAACTGCTTTCTGAATCTTTTTGTTGAAATATGTACAACATTTCAAAGGGAACTAGAACCAGCAGAAATGGTGAAGCACAGAGCAGTAAAGTCCAGTTTTTTATAATTAAATCAAGGTCAAGCAACTTAAGTTTCTTTCAAGTAAACTTCCTGGGCTCGTACAGTAGGGCACAGAGTGCAGACAGCCAATCCATCCCAGCATGCAAGCTGCAGGATTTTTGGGGTGGGTAGTAACCAGTTTTCTTTGTAAAATTGCTGGTAAGAAAAGATTCAAGAGATGACCAAAATGTAATGTTTTTCTTTTTAGTAGTATGAAAGGCAGAGAAGTTTCGTTTCTCTGGTTTTACATAAGGTGGCGCTCTATCAAATTATTTCAGGAAGGTCTGGGGTTGGCTATTGTTCTGTAGCAGTGCAGATAGAAAAGGTGTTTGGTTTTCGTGTCCTAAGATCTCCATCACAGTTACTAACTCTGCCAGTGCAACAGGAAAAAAAAAACCACATTGAATATGTATAAATAATAAACATGGGTATGATTCAGAGAAATAGTATTTAATAAAAGAGTTGGCAGACCAGATTTGGCTCATGGGCTTTAGTTTTCCAATCTCTGTAGCTGTGCTAAAGCAAGACGGTGAAACTAATCAAAATCCATACAGTCTTTACTCAGAGGGAGGCAGGAAACAGTAAGGATGCCATTCAGCAGTAAACAAAAGTCATTAAAGACTGTGGTCAGGTATCATGAATGGGAAAGAAACATTTTTACAAATCTGCACAATTCTCATCCTGAAACAGGAAACTCAAACACTCAACTAAGTACAATGTTTAAAAATTTATTATCTATTCATTACAACACTCAAAAAAGAAACAGGAAAATAAGCTGTAATATCCTGGGTCAAGGCTTGGCAGCAATGTGAATATGGAGAGTCTATTACTAAATGTTCATAATAAAAAGCTGCAGTGACTAAGAGGGCACCAGTCAAAACAAAGTACAAGAAAAAGCTTCGGCTAATTAAATCGTAAAGAAAGTTTAAAATTATATATATATATATATATATATATATATATATATATATATCCTCATTATGCCATGATAAAGGCATTCCATTAAAATCTAGGAAAACAGTTCTAACACATGGATGACTTGTAATTTATAATAGGTTCTATAGAGATGTAAACCATGATCCTTATAATTGCTATGTTATTTGTGAAAAGATCTCACTTCAAATCACAGGAGGAGACCTCAAAGCACTGTACTGTCTAACCCTTTATCTGCAGTCGGGATTAATTATGATATTAGCTAGCATGCACCCAGTGCCTACTATGTGCCAGGCATTCTCAACACAGTATCTCCAATCCTCGTATTCTTTGAATCATAACTCAGCTATTCACTATCTCTGTGACCCTGGACAATGCATTTAAGTATCTCTGCACTGCTGTTTCTAAAAGGGACTCTTCTGTGGAAGTCTGGGTGAAGTGTCTGCAAAATGTCTGTCATACATTTCCTTTTGGAAGATTTGTTGAGACATAGAAAGCACCTGAGAATTAAAACATACAGAGAAAATATGCTGTAGCTAATAACCTGCCAAAATGCTAAGCAAAATTTGGACACCAAATGAATGCCCTCTCTAGATGGTCATTTGAACTAGGGATGTTCTTGGAGATGTGCTTGCTCTTGCCTACAATGGCTGTCTGAAAGCAAGAGGAGAAAGAGAAAGGGAGATAAATTGTACTCTTCCTCCTCTGATTAGCATAACAGGCTGTGGAATGCAGTGGCCATGTCATTTCACTTTATTTTTCAAATATTTCACCACATTTGGGTCTTAAATGGTCATTATGTGCTATTGAATGATATATGAGGACTTGTCTCCTTCATTAATTATTCTCTGAAATCAGGAGAGTATCACTTTCAATTGTATTCATCCCTACTCCTCATCTTTTGATGAAGAGTGTATGAACTGCACTATGGTATTTGGCATGTGATTATTTACTAATTAGACATTCTCTCTTGCTTCAAGCAAGGTCAGAGTTGCTGAATTTGCTTCCTCTGAGCACCTATGAATAACCCTTTACTTGGCAAATAGTGTTTGGGAACAATTTTTACATTTACTATGCTATACGTCTGGCACTGTATCAGGGACTAGGAAAAGAGTGTGAACAAAAATACATAAAATTCTTGCCATCATGGATGCATTTTGCATTGTAGTAGGGAGCAGGACTTACTCAAACAATTACAGAGCTGAATGTAAAATTGCAATGTGATGAGTAATATGAGGCTGGGTTGTTGGGAATGAAAAAGAAGATATCTGTCCTTCAAAAATTTCTAGGGCAAGACCACACACAATCATAAAGCACACCGGTAGGTGCAGAGTTAGGCAGAGCACCAGGGGATGTGAGATCCCAAATGAGGGACAGCACACACTCTGGCAGCCAAGATGGATATCAGAAGGAGAAGCAATGCTTTGATTGATGTTTGCAAACAAGAGGAGAAATGAACCAGGAGAAATTGAAGAAATTTCAGGCAGATAAGAGATGATAGGTGAAAGTATGGACACTGGGAACCACATGACTCTTGGGGGAATTATAATCGTTTTGGAGCTGAAAAAAAAAATGATGCTGGAGTGAAAGTCAGAGACCAGATTATAAAAGGTTCCTTTAGAGCCTCAGGTTCTGAAATGCTTGGGAAAGTGAACAATGGCCTCTTAAAAGTATGTGGCTTGCAGAGACATTTTAGGTTAAATTTTGAAAAGCAGCTTTGTGAAAGTTAAACTGAAATGGTCCCTCACAAAAGAGGATGACAATTACCTAAGTGGAAAAGATAGTGGAAATAACGATGATGGCCAGTAGGATAACAGGAGCTAATGAGTGGGATTTAATTAGGAGAATTTGGGATTTGTTATTTGGGGGAGATAAAAAAGAAAGGAGAGTGAGGAAAGAGGAAGATGGAGGAGCAGGGGTGAGGTGAGGAAAGTAAGAAGAACTAAAAGAAAAAATAAAGGGTGAAGGGAAGAGAAGATGGAAAGGAGGAATCAAAAACAACAGGCTAGGTCATGATGTCTCCAATAAGGAGGGCAGCAAGTGAGATTTTTAGGCGGATGTAAGCAAACACTTTGAAAAGAGATCAATTTGATTAATAGCCCAGCTGGCCCAACTATTTTCTGTGTGAATTTGGGTAAGATATTTAATGATCCTTTGCCTGCATTTCCTCATCTGTAAAAGGGAAATGAAACAGTAGTTATCTTACATCTTTGCTGTTGAGATTAAATAGCTTAATACATACTAAGTTCCCAGAATCATGAATCTCAATAAGTAATCTATAAATATGAACTCATACCATTCTTTCAGGTGAGAAAACGTATATTTGGGGATTTGTATATACTGAGATTTAGGGATGTGTGAGATATTTATGTGACAATGACCCCAAGCCAGCTTGTTCATTACTACATCTATGTATACCTAGCAAAACGCTGGCTTTATAGAACAGCTTGAAGGTATATATTTTAGATCAATAGGTAAATAAGTGAATGAACAAGATACAAAATGAGCGAATAGATTCGCACCTCAAAGAAATGGGCAAGCAGGCAAGGCACATTGGAAATAACTGTTGTAATGTAGGGCATGATTGTCATGGTTTATGCTACTGGCCCCAAGCCTCATGCATTTGCATTGTGCATTTGTGATTGGTTCATTGTCTAGCTCTTGGATTGGGGGTGTGAGTGCTACACTGGCCTAGGGGTGGAGCCAGGATGTGAAGTAATGGCAGGAAGAAAGTGTGGCTGGCTCTCTTTTGCCTGTTTCTTCCTTCCTGTTTGCAGCCGCCATGAAGTGCAGCCCAGCCATGCTACCCTGCTTGGAGCCAACTGAGTATGGCCTGAAACCTCCAAAAACTGTAAGAAATAAACCTTTCTTTTCCTAACTTTGGGCATCAGGTATTTTGGCTCAGTGATCAGTAAAAAGTAACTAAGACAGAATTTGGTACCAAGAAATGGGGTCCTTTGCTATGACTATACCTGACCATGTTTTTTGAGAGGCTTTGGAAATGGCTTGTGGGAAGAGTTTGGAAAGGTTTGGACAGGTCACCTGGATGCATAGACCTGGAGCAGCTTAGGCTGTTCTGTAGAGGAGATTCTGGTCAGAGCTCAGGAGACCAGAAGACTGATAGAAAGCCTGATGCTACAGACCAGGCTTGGGAGGGTTCTGCTGGGAAGAAGGATTTCATTGGTTGTTGGACTCTCCATGATGTATGTTATGGCTTGGCAGAAAGTTTGTCTGCATTTTGCTCATGCCCAGAGATTTTGCCTGCCACTGAGACAAAGAGCAATGGACTGATTAATCTGGAAAAGGAACTTTCAAAGCAGTAGAATGTTGAGGTTGTGGCATGGCTATTGTTGCAGCTTTTAGTCAGCTTTATGTTGCAAATCAAGAACAAAGAGCCCAGCAGGATAATTTAAAATACTGTGAGTTTGGCCAAAAGGAAGATTCCAGGAATGCTGTGGATTGTAAAGAATGAGTTGAGACTTCAATCGCTAAAGAGAAACAGAGAAATAAGAAAGATGGCCAGGGGGCATCCCAGGAAGCAGGTCCCCACCCTTTGCAAAACTGTAAAAATGAAAGAATTTGCTCAGAGGAGAAAGCTGCAGAGCACCATGCTCTGCTCCAGAACGGCATGGAGGCCACTTGAAGCTCCAGAATGGTGGCAACATAGAAAACACTTTCTTCACAATCAGGTTCACCAAATCCAGCAATCCAGGCAATCAATCTCTATAGCCAAGAGTGAAAAGAGCCTGGCTACTCCTTCAGATGGCAACAAACCTTGGTGGCATCCACATGGTGCTGATTTTAGGTGCAAGGAAAATGCATGAATTCTGAGGGTAGGATGGTTTTCACCTCGATTGCAAAGGGCCTGGGAGGCCATGCAGTGTGCCTCTGAGAGAGCAATTTATAAAGATGTAAGGGTGAAGCCAAAGGTGCAGTGGAGACCCCAGAAGTTTGGAAAAGCGAGGAACATGGGTGATCCAAGGAAAGCTACAAAAAGTGAGCAGAGAGGGTTTAAGAGAAAAGCTGCAGGAGCTGAAATCCTTGGAAGTGCCATGTGGGTGTGGAATCACCCAAGCTTTTTGGAGCTTGCAACCAAATTGCTTCAAATGCTGAGCATGCAACTCTAGACTTAATGTTCATCCTGCTGGATGTTGGACTTGCTTTGTTTCCAATTCTTTATATTCCCCTGTTTGTAACTTTTGGAATGGTAATGTTTATCTTGGGCCTTTGCATTTCAGAAATGTTTAACCTTGTTTCATTTGTACAGGGGGTTATTGCCATAGATCTTGGAGGAGACTTGGGACTTGGATGGTTCAGCAATGCTGAAACTGTTAGGACTTTGACAACTCTTGGAGATGGACTGAATGTCTTTTGTATAAAGGATGTACATGAGTCCTAGGAGCCAGAGGTGGAATGTCATGGTTTATTTTGGTGGCCCCCCAAGCCTCATGCATTTGCATTGTGCATTTGTGATTAGTTCATTGCCTAGCACTTTGATTGGGAGTGTGAGTGCTATACTAGCCCAGGGGTGGAGCCAGGGTGTAATGTATTGGCAGGAATAAGATGTGTCTCACTCTCTTTTCCCTGTGTCCTGCTTGCTGTTTGCAGCCTTCGTGAACTGTGGCCCAGCCATGCCACCCTGCCTTGGAGCCAACTGAATATGGACTGAAACCTCCAAAAACTGTAAGAAATACAACTTTCCTTTCCCAACTTTAGCCATCAGGTGTTTTGTCTCAGTGACCAGTAAACAGTAACTAAGACAATGATCAAGGCTGAGATTCCCCTTAAATTATTTTAGGGTGAGGAGAATACAAGATAAAAGATTGAATCCTGAGAATCAATGAAATATAAGATTCATGGACAGTAACAGGATACTAACAAAATTAAGAGAATGGAGATCAGATGAGAAGATAATAAATGTGCTATTTCTACAGCAGAGACCCATAATTCGATATGCAGCGACAATTATTATTTATTCATTTATTCTTTGTACTGGGGATCGAACTCACGACCTCACCTTGCCAGGCAGGTGCTTATGCAACTGAATGCAGTGACAACATTTAGTAATATATACGATGGTCCTCCAAATCAGGATTTTCCTCCCCCAACTCCCAGCAGACTTTATACAACTTTTTGGTTATTTCTAAACTTCATGTATAGTTATTCCTTATTTCCAAACTACATATTGTGTCTGAAAAGTCCTAGACATTTAATTACTTGAAGAACAGTACTTTTCTTATTTCATCTGTATTTCCCTGGTATCCAACACAGTACTTGGAATATCACGGAGGACTAGCTTTATGCAACTTAAATGAACTACACTGATCTTAATAAAAATAAACTACCTTATCTCAGGTGCAGGATTTTTTAAGTGAAAAATAAATGGAACTGTTATTAATTCATGTATGTCCCAAGTATGACAAAACCGAATGGGTTGAAGAGAATTCCAAAACCCAGGAGACAGAGGCCGTACATTACATTGACTAGTCTCATTTGCTCTCCTACTGGGCTTTGGAGGAAGCATTCACCAGTTGTAATAAGTTTCAGATGTGTGTAATTTAAAAATCACGAACCTGGTAAAATCTTAGCACATGAACAACTTATTTGAACTCGACAGACACTCCATCAGAAAGCATTTATTAAGTACACTTACCAGTGACCTTTCAAACTCAATGCATGTAATATTTCCTTCAGTGAGAAAATTATACCTCAAGAATAGCTTATTAACTTATGGTTCTCATTCAGATCACTATTTTATGTTCTCTGGTACAGTATGATATCCCCGTGGTCAGAAATCATGTCTTGTAACCCCACCACCAAACACAGGAACTGACAGCTAGTAGGTTGTCAGTAAATGTTCACTTAATTATTAGCTTTAAACTACTTATTAGGAATGTGAATTCAATGTGGAGGTAAGAAATAGTGCAATTATGAAATGTCAGTTTTATTTTAGAACACCCCCTTCTCAGTAGTGGAGATGTGAAGAAAGCCATAAGGTTGTTAGCTTAAAGTTTATGAAAAAAGACATGTACCCTCAAGGACTTGTGTGGGTTCATAAAAAACATGAAAGGAAGAAAAGAACTGCTGGAAAGTACATGCTTTTCAAAACACATGGTGAAATACCTACCCCACAGTATTAGAGGGCATCTTATAACTAATCTTCGCTCACCAATAACTACTGCTTCAGTTGAATAATTGAGGTGTAGGAAGGTCGAAATGACTCAGAGGATTTCAAAAGGAATTTTAGTTGATGTAAATTTTTATAACTCCATCAAAATGATGGTACATGCTAATTATGTGAATAAGTCTTAGGTAAGTTTGACTAATTTTAACTGTGATTGTGGGAAAAAATAAGTCCCTTAATAACTGGTGTTTATAGCTAAAAGTCACTGGTTAAATAAGGAAAACAAATAACTTACTTTTAATGTATATACTTTAGCAATTATTCAGTAGTAAAAAAAACTTGGCTTATAATTCTATCAGTTTTATCCATTTGATAAATTTATATTGAAGAGTTAAAACATTCAGGAAACCCCTCTTGCCTTGTCACTCGGTCAGAACAACCAGATGTTCTGACCTGATAGGGAAGTTGTGATCCGACATCCCCAAAAATAAGAGCACGGTGAACTATCGACCCTGCCAGACAGGATGTGAGTTTTCAAAAACATCAAGCCACCTGCAGCAGATAGCTCACCCACCAGTAAACAAACGACACAACCCCTATTAACCAGTGCCATCTGCTTCTGTAACCGAAGCTTGCTTTGCAGCTTTCGGCTTTATATACCCTGCACTTCCCTACTCGGGACTCTCCCACACCCCTTTCCCACCAGAGTGAGGTCGGAGAGTCCCTTGCATGCACAGACAATAAAACCCCTTGATTTTTCATGAGAGCTGGATCCTTGGGGCCTTCTTCGCAATGGTGATCTTACAATATAATCACCCACACAATCACAGGACAAGCACCTTCAAATTTTCCTCACAATGTTCTTTACATTTATAAGCTCCATGTACTCTAACCCCTGGCAAACATTAACCTGTTCTCCACAGTGACAGCTTTTTGTCTATGTAAGAACATTACATAATTGGAAACATATTTATGTTCCTTTTGAGGTTGTCTTCATTCATTCACCATAATTCTTTTGGTGTTTATCCACTTCACTGTATACGTATTTTGTAACTGTGCGTCGATTATTCTTTTTGTGGGTTTCATTTTTTAATTTACTATAGTGTAATAACCCATTTTATGGATAAACAATAATTTGTTGATTCATTCATCCCTCCAAAGGTCATCTGTATTATTTACAGTTTGAGCAAATGATAGAGTTCTTATAAATATTGGTGTGAAAGTATGTATTTGAACATAAAATTTAATTGAGTAATGACCATTCTCATGCAGTAAAATTTCTGAGTTTTATGGTGAAGATATGTCCTACTTTGTGTAAGATGTTAAAGTATTTATCTGAAAGTCTCTGGCGTTTTGCTTTCTCTCTTGTAATGAATACAAAGTCCAATTTTCCACCTATTTATTAATATTTGCTCTTGACACAATTTTAAATTTCAGGTATTCTAATAGGTATTTAGGTCAATCTCACTAGGACATCAATTTGCATATCTCTGATGACTGATGCTCTTAAAATATTTTTTATGATTGTACGCCAGCTGCATTTATCTTTGGAACATTATCTCTTCAGTGATTTCTTTATTTCTTTATTTCTTTTCTGATTTGTTCGTTATTCTTAGTGTTCAGTTCAGGGACTTCTTTACATATTGTATTTTTTATTTTAACAGAGCTTTTAAAATTCTTTCTATTAGTACATATTTTCAGTACATAATGACTACATTCCTTGGATAGTCTTAGCCTCTGTACATACCACATCTTAATTCTTCTCCTATTCTCTCCCCTTCCGTCATCCTCCCTCCTTTTTCCTCTATTACTTGTTCCTTACTCTTCAGTGTAGCAGAATTTCTGTAGCTTGCCTTTGCATTTCCTTAACAGCTTCTCAATGCAAAAGTTTTTAATTTGGAAGACATTCAATGTAGCATTTTTTCCTTTAAGAATTGTACTCATGCTGTTATGCATAAGAATACTATCTAAAAATAGTTATGTAGATTTTCTCTTATATTTATTTGGTTTTTTTACTTTAAATATTTATTGTTACTTTGAGGGGGATAGAATTTCCCTAGTTCAAGCCAACTTTGAACTCATTCTGTAACCCAGGGTGGCTTCCAACTCATGGGAATGCTCCTGTGTCAGCCTCTGACGTACTGTAATTACAGGCTTGCACTACCATGTCCAACCAAGATTTTATAGCTTTGCTTTTTACATTTATATCTACTTGTCACTTTTTATTCTAAACAGATTAAAAAGCAATACAAATAATGCAGAGTTTCAAAGCAAGATGACAGGAAATTAACAGTGGTTATTATATTAAATACTGCTGTCTTCAAAATAGTTGCTCAGATTACCAGATATTGGCATGAAAAATCAGTCAAACAGTATAAGCACCACTGTTACTTTCAATGAACTAATAGGATGAACAGTACAACTATCTTAGATATCTTGAGCATATATTTATTTTTTCCTCAATTTTTATCTCCTTTCCCCATCCAGTCATTCTTTACTTTTGAGCAGTTTATTTCCCTTTCACAATATCTATTGTACCTTTTGGATCTGTGGTATTTTCATACACTGGAGTACTACACAGCTATAAAGAAAGATAAACTTGAATCTTTTGTAGGCAAGTGGACATAACTAGAGACTACTCATAACAAAGTCAGAGTTGCACGTGTAAACATCATAGTGTCTTCTTAGTATAAGAAATTGAAAGAGTAAGCTACTTGTCACTTTTTATATAAACTGTAAGGTTTACTATTTTTGTATTAGCATCCATTTTTTCCAATACTATTTTGGTAAAAATCATATTTTCTTCAATGAGATGTTTTCATACTGTGGAAAAAAGCAATTGACTCATTTTACTGGCTTTATTCTGAACATTTCATTCTGTACCTTTGATGTATGTGTCTTGCCTTTAACCAATATTATACAATTTGATTACTTTAGCTTTATCTGTAGTAAGCATTAAACAGGGCAGTATATACACTACAACTTTATTCATCATTTAACAATTATTTTGTCTCTCATGACCTGTTAATTACAAGAACAGTTCTCAAAGCCTTACAGGTGGATTTCTTGTGAGAAATCATGCAGTACTTTAATAGCGTGGCTTTGACCTGATGTCAGCCCGAGGCATGGCATTCCTATGTGCTTTTCAGGACCAAGATATACAGGGTCTCATGAGTTTCTTTGAGATTTGGATAACATGTAAGGACACAGATGCCAACAAAACCTTGCTATTATGATTTCTTTTGGTAGCTCATGCTGTTTCCCAGATGCAGCTTATACTTTTATTTTTGTGTTTATCTTTATTGTTTTCCCCTTGTTTAATTCAAATTCTCTCTGCAGAGCTGATTTCTCCCATACTCCATTTACCCCTCTCTTTTAAAGTGAACTTTTGGCATTGTTAAAAAGGTTGTTTCATCTCTCTTACTTTCCTTGTTTTCCATAAAAGTTATTGTCAGAAGTTCAGCTGAGTAGAAAATGTTAAATTGCCACATGCTGTAATAACTAATTAAAACAATAAAAAGACAAGTGTACTGTAACAATCTATCTTTTAACCCTTTTG